TTCACATCTAATATAAAATATATATAAAGCAATCAAAACACATGTAAACAAGCATGCATTTATGTTCAATAAAGTTACAGAACATGAGCTTAATCATTAATGGATTCCAAAGAAAATGTAGGCAGTAGCAAAACAAACACCAAGTGGAAACAAAAGTCATCCTGTGAGGAAGATGTTTGGAATGGAAGTTAAGGCAAACGTAAGTCATGCTCATCCATGCTAGAGTGCTTGGATTTGTTATCTTAGTGTTGCAGCTTGTTCCAGCTTCCCACTTTGTACAACCTTGGAGGAGTCTGTGATGATAGCAGTAGCTTGACTTTTGTTCCCTCCTGGAAATTTATTTTGTGCTCCTTGTGCGTGAATTTTGGCCTGGTCTAACTTCAGTTATTGCCATCATTTGAGGAATGAACTAGTGAATAACACAATTCCTCTCCCTCTGTACCTTTGTCTGCTTCTCCAAAAATCTTTTAAAAGTCAGCACAATAACTATGACAATCATATAATCTATGAATATTACGACAAAGCCTTGAACTACAATTTAAAAATTCAAATATCAGCACGACAAAAGAGCAACAGAGACGAGAAGCAAGTGCAGCTCATTCAAATAATGCAATGATCTCTTAATACAGAATAATTAACACCACAAATCCTGTTGATAAACCAAAGTATACAACTATTTGAAGCCATAATATACAGTGAATAAAATGCAAGTATTCTTAAGTTACATTAGATAGTCAATTGTGAAAATCAGTCTCATCGCTGAATGGATTATCTGTTCTGCTTAATTGAGTATGAAACATTAACATATTCATACATTACTTTTCAACCGCATTCCTTTGAATATTAAGGATTTAGCATTAGCAAACTATCTTGTGAAGAGGAAAATGTGCAGACCGGTAGTCTCTGTAAGTAGAGTCAGAACACTTCCTTGATCAGTTGTTTGCATGTTGTCTCCACACGCCATCCTGAAACAGTAACAAGGCTTATCCAGTCCTGAAGACACCTGCGTGTTCTACAAAATCTGATATCCGATGCTTGTGACAGAAAATGTACAGATGTGTGTCATCAGAGATGATGGTTCAGGAAGAGATAATGTTAGACAATATAAATATTTTAATCTCAGATCAATGTGTGAACTATATATATATACATTCATGCATGCATACAAAACATATATCAAAATTCATAGCCATATGAATTATCTCAATTAAAGATCTACATTAATAAAAATAAATAAATGCTTATATATACATTACAAATGCATGTATAAATTCTACATCTGTAAAATGTGTAATGTATTTATTTATCACTAAAATTATGTATTTTAGGAAAAATATAGTGAAGATTATAGAGCTCCTAAGGGACAAACCACAAAAGTTATATATTACATCATCATAACTGAAAATTGTGGGCAATGTGTAAAAGTAGTTTCTTGTGGACTCAATCATGTAAATGATTGGCAACAAAGTAAATAAAGAAATTTCTAATTGAAGAATAACCAATTCTGGCATGCTGGTGTGAAACATCCATACCTGCTGAGCTGATGGACTACACAGTGGGGACAGATAAACAATACAAGGAAAACCCACTTTGCTGGAGGAAAAGAAACCCGCCAACTATTGAGTGTGCGAAGGGATTTTATGTATGGTTGCTTTGTAATTTCGTTTAAGTTTCCTAATATCGGGGGCATTGTGATGGCAGAGTTGCTTTCAAATCTCAAGTATAAGCTAACCCTCTCTGCAAAGGGGAACTTGGAAAAGGAGACTAGACAGATCCATCATTATAATTTTTCTTTCTCCTGTGTCACACCATCTTGAATATCTGTGAAGACCCTGTGAAGGACACAGCCAGAACATGGCCATCTGCCAGCCAAGGAGAGACGCCTCAAGGGAAACTGAACATTCTGTTTGGTCCTAGTCTTCTTGAGCTGCAAAATAAAAGAGGAATTTATGTTAAAAACACAAGAAAAAATAATACATACAAATAGTTTGGAGAGTGAAAGATGGTTCTTTATTTTTTTCCTGGAAATATCTTTGGATTTTTTTTTTTTACTAATCAATCTCCAAGGTTAATAAGTCATCATTTTATGTAATGAATTGGAATTTTAAGAACACAATAACACAGGCCCTGTGCGGTAGTGGAGGATCTCTCTCTCTTTCTTTCCTCCTCTCTCTCTATATGACTTTACAATAAAAATAAATAAGTCTTTAAAAAGAGAGAGAATGCAATAACATATTAATGCATATTAAGAATACTTAAAACATTGATAAATCTTCCACTTTATTGTGTGTATCTGAAAGCATAATTCCAAACATTTAAAAAAAAAAACTTTTGGTTAAACAAAAGTTCATAGGATTTTGCAGTTACCTGACATTTCATTGTCCTTTATACAGTCAAGTTCAAGTTTCATTAGAGATACAAGGTCAGTTCCTTCCAGTCCAATTATTCCCTGTGATGTTACACTCTGAAACTGAGGTCTGTTACTTACAGTACATAGGCACACTTTTTCTTTGAAAATAGAATGTAAGTACATTTTACTACTCACATTATTTTTAGAATATCAAATACAGTGTTCGAAAGTGAAAAATCAAGCATAGTACATTTTTTTTGAGAACACATGATTATTTATGCCGTAAGATGTGTCCCTTCAAAATTGGCCTGTTAATGTTCCAATTATGATGATCATCAGCAAGACACATACACAAGAAGCAGGAGAAACCAAATCTGCACTGTATTCGAAGACATCTTCAACCTGGATTTCTATTCTACACAACTGAAAATTCATTTCTATTATTTAAGCCACCCAGTCTATGATATTTTATTATGAAATACTAGAACACATACACATTTATAACACACTGTACATTTAACCCACATTTTCCATTATTTTGAGAGTAATTTTTTTTCTAACACCTGATAGTGGAAAGATGTTATTATGCTGATGTTTGAAATGAGGGACTATTCAGTGATTTTGATGGTGACACATAATATTCTTTCATTGTCATTATAGCAAATGACTTGGAATCCATTGAAACTTTAGGAATTATAAAATGATATTATTACTATATATGTATAGTATATATATATGTACATATACATAACTGTACACATTATGTTAATATAATTCAAATAGAATGTTGAAAAACTTAAGTCCAAAACAAGAGAAATGAATAATATCTGCTTCATATGGAACTGAAACTGTATTGGACCATATTAAATTTATATTTTAAATTTATATTTTCATATTTTATAAGGAAGTGTGTCCATCCTGTCACTTTCTAGTTGCAAGTAGACAGAATTACATACTGTTTATAGACCAGTGGCTGTATACATTTTTCAGTGTTCGGTGGCATCTTTAGGAATTATCTCTGGAATTTTATGCAAGAGGGATGGTCCTCCAGCACAACCATCTTCCATTTTCTCTGTCCTTTTGATCAATAGCACTCAAAAATCCTCAAAACATTGTGCACTCCTCATTCGTAATTTGGCTTTACTTTTAATGTCTCCTTTTTTATTCTAGAAATCGAAACTGCTTCTGTTTTTCAGGAGGAAGTTCTTCAAGTCCAAGGTCCATTTTAGGAGGTATTTATTATTGACATCTTTCAATATATTGCATGTTGACTGTGACAAAGCTTTTCATCACAAGATATATTGATGTCTTCATCCCCCATGATCTTTGAGTTATGAAACAATTTTGTTTGTCCTGTTGAATATCGCAGGCTTGCATAATTGGTGCCTGATAAACAGAGCTATTTAGTAGATATGCTGAATGATTAAGTATATTGCAGGCACTCTATGCATTCATTTTTAATGAAAAATCAAATTTTGGGGGCACAGCATGATAGTCTAGAGTTAAAGTCGTTGCCTTGCACATGCTGGAATCGCATAGGGGCACTTGTTCTAATCCTGGTGGCCTCACTTCCCATCCAGCTTCCTGCTTGTGGCCTGGGAAAGCAGTTGAGGATGCTCCAGACCCTTGGGACACTGCATTCACATGGGAGACCTGGAAGAAGCTCCTGAACCCTCGTTTTGGTTTGACTAGGCTCTGGCTATTGAGGCCACTTGGGGAGTGAACCAGCAGTTGGAAGATCTTTCTCTCTGTTTCTCCTCCTGTCTGTATATCTGACTTTCCAATAAAAATAAAATAAATCTTTCAAAAATGAAAAATTAAATTTTTAATTACATGTGCATCTCACATAGTCAGTATTTAATATTGTCTAGAGTTAAGTTTATATATAAGTGGTTTGAGTAGATCTTATCTGTTATCTAAATATATTTAACCCTTAGATTGTAAATATTACTATTTTTTATATAAAAAAAGTAGTCAGACATTTGTTGATACTTTGCATAAATTGTACTTAATTCTGTCTTCTAAAATTACTAATTACCAAGTGAAATAATTATGTCCCAGGATTCCAGAATGAAAGATCAAATCATATTTTTCTAGTTCACAGTATTTGATAATGTATTGCAAGGCCAGAATGTCTAATTATGAAGAACAAGTTACAATTAGAAGTTCTTTTTAAAGATATTCTATATTTGGCATGTTGTAGAGCTATCTTATAAAACAGACAAGGTTGTAAACATTTATTTACTACCTTTCCTATCTTATATTTATTAACGTGATGGACGTAACTAAATAAATGGGTTCTATGTCGTGGCACAGAAAGTTAAACTGCTACATGAGTAGAGCACACACCTTATTGGAGTGTCTAATTCCAGTACCGGCTATTCTGTACTTTGGATGCACCTTTCTGCTACTATGGCTAGCAGGAAAGGGATGGTCTACAGCCACTTGGGTTCCTACCACCTGAACAGAGATTTTGATGCCTAACTTCAAGGAGACCTGGTATTGCCACTTTCATGCATTTGTTAATTGAATCAGTAGATACAAGCACGATCTCTCTCCCTCACACCCCTACACAATATCTTCCAAATGAACAAATATCTTAAAAAATAAAAAAAAAAAAATCCTGAAAATGAAGACTGATTTTTTTTTTTTTAATATAGAGCATTTCACACATTTGTATGTCATTCTTGAATGGAGCCGTGCTAACCTTCTCTATATCATTCCAATTAGGATCATAATAAAAATCATTCTTAAAAAGGGAACAAAAGAGAGAGAGAGAAGAGAGAGAAAAAAAGAGACAATATATATATTTTTTCATTCACTGATTCACTCCCCAAATGGCAACAATAGTCATGGTTTGGCCAGGATGAGCCCTGGAGCCTTTTCTGTGTCTTCCATGGGTTTAGGGGCACAAGCCATTGGGTCATCTTCTCCTTTACCAAATACATGAGAAGGGAACTAGATTGGAAGTGGTGAAACTGACACCTGAATTGGCACCCACTATGTCACAGTTTTGGCCTCACAAAAATAAGGTTTAGGTTCATTTTTTCAAAAAGTTTTGATGCTCCTTCTGACCATTCTCCTCCTTGCGATTGTATCCAATCCTTTTAGAATGTCCTGCTGAGATAGCAAGAAAATACCTGTTGGTTGTTTTGAGGTTCTCGGCTAAGGTGAGACACCCACTGCTTACCTGTGTTTTCTTTTGCAGTTGCTAACACTATTCATACCATGACGCCGTCAGTGAGTTGTCTTCGTCCATGAATATTTTATTGTTGGAGGGGAAAAGATGTCACCTATTTTGACACTACATGTAGCTTCAGGGTTTAGTTTTGACTACTTCAGATACATATGAATCTTAATTTGGCACAAGGAGTACAATTTGCAAACATTTCAGTCTGTATCAGTATACACTTTCACAGAAAGCCTTGTCAAACTCTTTGACTATAGAAATCTTTGCCCCCCAATTACAGAGATTATTTGTTTATTTAGAGCAAGAATCTGGTGAACTGAATACAAATACCCTAAATTGGAAGTATATTTCAAAGGGATAAGTGTAACATTTTCATTTGCTTCAGCATAATATAAATTTGTGAGCTCAGTTTAACCTATGCGGATTATTTTGTAATCAAGCAATTGCTAAGATAATTTTTTCCCTTCACACTGCATGGACTGAAGCAATGGAATAAATAATGCTTTTCTGATCACTTGGCTATCCTGGAAAATTACAGAATTAGATGAAATTGTTAGGAGTTATTCAAGGAGTGTGCTTATTCTTTCATAAATGTACTTAACAAGAATATATTATATCTGTATTTTTTGTCAGGTACCTTTAAAACAAAAACATCAGTGTGATTGCTTTTATTAGGATTGGTAACTCTCATCCTGGTGATGCTACAGAATCTATATTTAATATTACATAGAGATGCAGTTATATACGAAGAATGATGTTTTTCTTCAAACTTAATATGTACCTCGATACAATAGAATTGAGGCTTATTCCCTACCTAAATTAAGAAAATAAAACTTGAAGTCAACAAAATTTCCTGGCTAATAAAACACTACCTGTGGACTTTAATTTACTAGCTATAACATGCATATTCACATCTAAATTCTATCCATTATATTACAGTACAAATTTGAATGTTTATATATACTTTGTCAACAGGAAGAAAAATAGAAATACTGCTTTGCTTCATCTCGTGGGTTTTGCTATTTTTGTTTTAATTTTCATTTTTTTAAAAATAGTTTCTTTTAATTTTTTCACTGACTCACATATCATACACTATCATCATTTTCTTCAAGAAAGTTCTTGATTTCCCTTTTCATTTCTTCAGTGGCACATGGATCTTCAGTAGCATATTATTTAACTTCAAGCTATTGTAAATCTTTTAATTTCTTCTTCTTGTTGACTTTTATGGCTTTTCTTTAAGAGAAAGTATATTAACTGTGTAATGGAGATGATTATAACCAGATGTGAAGATCCAAAGCAATAAGCATCTCTACTTTCAGATCAAAGATGGACTCAATGAAACAGTTAAAGATACCTTCACATTAGGGATCAATAGGATGCTGGACTCTCTGCCGTTGTCTATTACCCACAGTGATGGACTTCTGCCTGCTTATCCTGCTTATGTAGAATCATACTATTGTAATAATGTAGGTGAAATTAATGGGGGAGGAGCAACTCTGGGAAGGTGTAAGGGAAATCCCAGAGCCTATAGAGCTGTATCATAATAATAATAATAATAATAATAATAATAACATGATAAAAAACATTAAAAGTAAGAAAATATATTTGTGCTGTGGGGATTGGCTTATTTTACTGAGCATAATGGCCTCCAAAAGGGACCATTTGGCTTTCAAACTAGAGCAAATGTGATTAACTGATGTCTACTAAATCTTTCATCCTATAGACAGAAAATACACTTTTGCATCATCTGTACATGAAACTTTCTCCAGGTTTGTCCACTGTTACAAGGCACAAAACAAGCCTCAGCAAATTTTTAAGTGACATTATTCTAACATATGTATTTTTATTTCATTTGCTTTTTATAGCTCTTGCAAAATTTAACACAATTCTATTGAAGCTATCATAAGGATGAACTTGGCTGTTCTTGTCTGGTTCAAAATCTTATTTTCAGTACTTTCAATTGATACCCATTCAATATGATGCTAATTGCTGATTACTCATGTATTTCCACGAATGAGTTGAAGAATGTGCCTACCATACTTAAGAATGTGACTTCTATTCCTAAGGTTTTATCATAAAAGATTCTTGTATTTTATCAAATGCTTTAAAAGTATTTATTGACATAGTTCAATGCTTTATATTCTTCAGCTTTTAAATGTGATGTATCATAATTGTTGATTTACATAAATTAAATCATCTCTGTATACCAACAATAAGTCCCATTCCCTAGAGGTGGATGATATTTCATATGTATAATTAGAACTGAGTAGCTATAGTTGTCTTGAAGTTTTTACTTTATTTGTTTTTAATTTCTTTATTTTTATTGGAACATCAAATTTACTCAGAGAAGCAGAGACAGAGAGAAAGATCTTCTATGCAATGATTCACTCTGAAAATCGTTGCAATAGCCAGATCTGAACTGATTCGAAGCCAGGAACCAGGATGTTCCTTTGGGTCTCTTACGTGAGTGTAGGGTCCCAAGGCTTTGGCCATCCTTTACTGCTCTCCCAGGCCACATACAGTGAGCTGAAAGAGAAACAGATCAGTTGGGATATGAAACAATACCCTTATTTGATCCTGGCACGTACAAGGTGAGGATGTATCCACCAGACCACTGCATAGGGCCTGTTGACATTGTTTTCAGAAGTGTTGTCTTGGTTTTCCTCATTTGCTGTATGTTTTTTTCTGGTTTTATGACTAAGTTGATTTTTGTTTCATAGAAGGATTTTGAGAGTATTACTCACATTTTGCTTTTTTTGGATAGTTTTAAGTAAAGGACTTAATTCTTTTAATTTGGAAAAATTCAGCAGTTAAGGTTTCCAATCCTGAGCTTTCATTTTTTGGAAGGATCTCTCACTGGACTCAGTCTCTGTCTTTGATATTCATGTATTTAGCTTTGTCTCCATGACTCCATTTTATATGTTTCATATTTTATGAAGAAAAGGTGTACAGAAAGAAAGATCTTCCATGCACTGGTTCACTCCCTTGAAGTCCACAATGAGCTGAGATGATCACAAACGAAGAGTTCCTGCTGGGCCTCCCACAGGGGAGCAGTGTCCCAAGACTTTAGGTCATTCTGTACTCCTTTCACAGGCCATAAGCAGTGATCTAGATGGGAAGTGGAGCAAGCTGAGGCATTGACAGGTGCCCATTTGGGATGACGGTACTTAAATTTTGAGGATTTAGCTGCTGAGCCAGCATACTGGACTGTCGTAAATAATCTTGGTTGCATACACTCTTCTGGGTTGACAGTCTCTTTCTTTTAAGACTTGTATTATGTCTTTCCATTCTCCACTTTTTATTTATTTATTTATTTATTTATTTATTTATTGTGTATGTGCAATTTAATGAGAAATCTGCTGTTTGTCTAAATGAGAATCCTCTGAATGTAATCTGGCCCTGTCGCTCATAGGCATTCTGGAATCTTCCGTTTGATTGTTGAAGCTTTGGCTCCACCATGTCACAGTGAAGATCTTTACTAATCTTGGTTATCATTTCTATCCTTTTTTTATTTGGATGCCCCTTTCATTTTCCACCTTAGTGAAATTTTCAGCTATTGTGTGTTTCACATATTCTTTGTTCTGACACATTACGCTCTTAAGGATTTACATCATAATTCCTGTTTTTATCTCCAGTATTTTACTTTGATTTCTATTCAATAAATTTACCTCCTAGCATTTTTCATCCATTTTCAGCATATACCCTTCTTTATTTCATGAACTTGTTTCCCTGTTTTTGAGAAAACTTATGAATTTTTTTCCAAGTTTCATTTTTGCTATCTTATTATAACTCCAACCTCACAATCTTACACTGAATTGCTGTATCGAGTTGTTTGAAGCATTGCAGTGTCATCCTTTTCCTGTTTGTTTCATTTCTGCTTTTGTTTTAAGGCTTTTTTTTTCCACCGAAGGTTTTTATCTCTGAATGGGGTCTCCATGACTTAGTGGTCCCTTCTGTTCATCCACGTGATACTCAAAGTCAATGGGAAATGCAGATTTATATTCCTGCCAAAATTTCTTTATAAGTACTTGGAAGAGAGCTGTCACAGTCTCCAATCATGTTAACATGATGCCTTGTCCCTCACGGTCTCCAGACACCATTTTGGAAGGATGTAGAGAAACAAATGTGCTTTACCTTCATGGGGTTGGGTGAGTGCCTTGCCCCTCACTAGAGCTCCAGGCTGGATGTAAAATCACTAGGGTCCACAAAGTTTTCTCTGAGATAACTTCACCTGTAGCCCCAAAGGCGGCTGCATCTTTGTGTTGCACATATTGTTGCATGAACCAATCTGCAAAGTCCCCACTGCAAAGTTTTCTCAAACTGTCCCCTGAGACTGTGCTGCCTCCCCGGATCGTCTGTTTTCTTGCACTTGTACAGATCAACACACCTTTGACCCGGTGCGGTAGCTTAGAGGTTTAAGTCCTCGCCTTGCATTCTCCAGGAACACATATGGGCTCCGGTTCGAATTCCTGCAGCCCTGTTCCCCATCCAGCTCCCTACTGTGGCCTGGGGAAGCAGGAGACGACGGCCCAAAGGCTTGGGACCCTGCACCACTGTAGGAGA